CGAGAAATGCCAACGCCGCGGCCAAATTACTCATATTCCTGCTGAATACATGACGACTATCAACTCTCCAATCCCCTTTGCTCAATGGGGAATCGATTTGGTAGGACCGTTGCCGATGGGGACGGGACAAAGAAAGTTTTTGGTAGTCGCAGTCGACTATTTCAGCAAGTGGGTCGAGGCGGAACCCTTAGCATGGATCACTGAAGAAAAGATGATACAATTCCTGTTCAACAATATTTGCTGTCGATTTGGAGTTCCAAATGTGTTAATCTCAGACAATGGAACTCAATTCCAAGGAAAACGAATCCAAGCATGGTGCCTCGACATGGGAATCAAACAGAGATTTGCGTCAGTCGCACATCCACAAGAAAACGGGTAAGTCGAGGTCACTAATCGAACTATCCTCCAAGGGTTAAAGAAAAGACTGGAAAAAGCGTCGGGGGCTTGGGTCGACGAGTTGACAGCAGTTCTATGGGCTTATAGGACGACTCCGCGAAGCTCGACAGGACAATCCCCCTTCCACATGGTTTATGGAATGGATGCACTGCTACCGATTGAAGTCGGTCTCGACTCTCACAGATCAAAGTTTTACGAAGAAAAGAAAAACGAGGAAATGATCGAAGAGGCCCTAGATCTAATCGAGGAAGGTTGAGAAGAAGCCTGGGTGCGATCTGTCGAGTACAAACAGAAGATGCGAGCAGCCTTCGACAAGAAAGTCCGAACCAGGCGATTCCAAGTGGGGAACCTCGTCCTCAAACGAGCCGACGCTCTCAAACATGTCGGCAAGCTTGAAGCTAATTGGGAAGGGCCCTACACTATCACAAAGGTCCTCGAGAGGGGCGCGTATGAACTCGAGGACGGAGAAGGTCGACAACTCCCGCGATCCTGGCACGTGATCCATCTCAAACGCTTTTACGCTTAAGGCATTATTTTCGAACTATTTCTTGTACTGAAAGATGTCTGATTTGAATTCAGTGGTATAATAATCCTAAGTTTCAAGTCTATGCTCCAATTATGTCTCTTATATTTACATATCGCCTTTATGATTGTACGAAAAATTGAATTTTTCACAACGGCTACGAAGCCGACCAACTCTCCAACGATTATGAGATAACATAAAGCACAACCACGAGGTTAAAAACTCTCGAGCGGAATCTCGAGTAGGCTACGAAGCCTTCGACTACGAAGTCGACTTAAACAACTACGAAGTTGTACACTCTCGAGCGGAATCTCGAGTAGGCTACGAAGCCTTCGACTACGAAGTCGACTTAAACAACTACGAAGTTGTACACTCTCGAGCGGAATCTCAAGTAGGCTACGAAGCCTTCGACTACGAAGTCGACTTAAACAACTACGAAGTTGTAAACTCTCGAGGGGAATCTCGAACAGGCTACGAAGCCTTCGACTGCGAAGTCGACTTAAACAACTACGAAGTTATAAACTCTCGAGCAGAATCTCGAGCGGGCTACGAAGCCTTCGACTACGAAGTCGACTTAAACAACTACGAAGTTGTAAACTCTCGAGCGGAATCTCGAGCAGGCTACGAAGCCTTCGACTACGAAGTCGACGAACACCACTACGAGATTGTAAAATCTCAAGCAGGCTATGAAGCCCTCGACTATGAAGTCGATCAATACAACAACTACAAAGGTGACTAACATGACCAAAGAATGAAAAGATGTCGTACAACCAAATTTAATACACAACGAACATCGAGACAGCTATGAAGCTGCCCAAATTGTCGCTCGACTTCGACCAGCTCGCGAGAAGGGTTGGGGAGAAGACGAGTCGAAAAACTTAGCGTCTCACAGCTACGAAGCTGTTCAAATTGTTGCTCGACTTCGATCAGCTCGCAAGAAGGGTTGGGGAGAAGATGAGTTGAAAAACTTATGATTATCAGCTATGAAGCTACTAGGGTCCTTGGACATAGCTGTTCTCAAGTTCTGTCTAGAGTTATCTTCTCTAGAGTTATCTGTCTTAAAGAAGGATAGTTATCTAGGCCCCATACTTGAACTGAAATAAGCACTTGCGAAAACTTAAAATTGACTTAGGTGACTTACCTCGGAGTCGATGCGGAGTGAGCGTGGCGTGGTCATGCTTTTCTAAAAAAAACTTTTAAAGGTATCCAGAACACTAAGTGCTTTGATACCAAGCTGTAATACCCCGCCTTGACTAGTTTGACTTTTGAAAATCAGAGTAAATTTTTCGTTTTTATTTTTGAAATATCGTGCGAGCTTCTTTTTCAAAAATACTTAATCTCTTGCGGGATGCTACTAAAACTTTCTTAACTTACTGTCTCGGACATAATAAAACATGCAACCAAATCGAGCCACTATGGCGATAATAGAATTATACATGCAGTCTGTCTGTCTCGCACAAATAACTGAGCGGAAGCATAAAGTATGAAATACAATCATACAACTCATACATAATTTGGTTCATGAAAATAGGACATAAAACGGTAGTAAAAATGTCCTCGACTCATGACCACAACTTGCCACACTGGCTCACTTGGCACGCTGGACTCCGTCACCTGAAAAACACAATGGGGGCGTGAGCAAACCACTATGCTCCGCAAAGACCAGTACTGAATAAACAGCATATATAATAACAATATCATGACATCAATATATAAGAGCTGAAACAGTAATCTTTTCTTTTCTTTTCTTTTCTGAACTGAACTTTGGTCCATTGATCCTCGGCCCTCGGCCGCTCATGTGCACAACCCGGAAAATAAGGCCTTGGCCTACATCGGGTACCAGGTGGAATATTAAGGCCTCGCCTCCAATCCTGGGAGAACTAACTGTCTCGAACATACCTCAGTCATAGTAAAGATATTCTAAATGATGTAGAATTCAGTACATGACCCCCACATGATATACAGAAAATCTGATGCAAGTGCTCGAACTGAAGTAGCGGTCGGAGGCTCGACTCTCCTTAGGCTACATAAACATATAAATAAAAAATATGCTAAGTATTATGCTCATATAAACATATAATGCATGCTCAGTTCTATGTGCTCGACTCGGATGAATTAGACCGATAAGGATTTACTTAAAAATATACTAAGTTCGGTTTTATAACTGGTATTCTTGAACTGACTAGTTTGGCTCGGAAAAATACTAAAAATCCTCCGGGACACGCTCGGACCGGGAAAAATCGAGTCAAACAGCTCGGACTGAAAACTGGCTTGAACCGTCGGTTGAACCGGTCGGTTTGCTGACTGGCCAGACCGTCAGCTCGGGCTGAACCGAGCGGTCAGGTGCTGGCTCAAACTGACCAGACTCGGTCCCGCACCGAGCCTTCTGGTGGCTGGCGCGACGGTGCGTTGCTGTG